AGTGATAAGACAGTCAAATGCAACTTTTACATTACTTCGGATGAACACTGGGTTCATCTGATTGTTCTGTTCAGACATCTGTTGCTAAATTTCTTACAAGAAGACATAAACAATGTCTAAGTTCTCAATGACAAAATGAGGCATGAGTTCACCAAAGTTAACTGTGGGGAGCCAATGAGTTTATTCAAACTTCTTAGATAGATGAGTGGTTCCTTACAGGTTCATAGGCCTCCCCTCTTGTCTTCCCGGGATTATATATACTCTAGTCCCTCCCTCAGGCCATGTGCAATTAAAACAGAGTTGTGTACAACAGGCGGTAGAGCAGCTGGACAGTCAGGTGAGACTATCATGACTTCTCAGTCCCTCTGTGCTGGGCTGTAAACCATAAACAAGCCCAGCTGGGATGTTCTGCAAGGGAGTGCAGCTGAATGTCCAAATTGGGGGTTACTTGGCTCAGAGGACAGTCACTCATGATAATGGCACATCCAGATATCAAAAGTCAAGTCATTGGCACATAGTTATTTTAAAAGTGTTACCCTGCTTGTTGGTTTAAAGTGATTTGAAAGGGTTCTGGTTGGGTTTCATGAAAGAATATAGCTCACCAGTTCTTAATTCTGACAGAACAGTTCTACTTGAATGTTTTGGTTATTGTTTAAGTCAGAGTCAGCATGCTTTCAGTTTTCCATATAGTTATTCCCTTCGAAAGTGGAGCAAGGACATTTGGATTGTGCTTCCTATTTTTAAAAAAATTGCTTTTATGTTTGTGAGTGTTCTGCTTGTATTGTGTGTGTGCCTGGTGCTTACGGAGGCCAGAAGAGGATGATGGATTCCATGGAACTGGAGTTATAGACAATTGTGAGCTGCCATGTGGGTGCTGGGAACCAAACCCTGGTCCATGGTAAAGGCAAGTGCTCTTAGCCACCGAGCCACCTCACTGGCTTCTGGATACATTCCTTTAAAAACACCAGCAAAGACCTCTCCTCTCCCACGATGGCTCTAACTAGTGCCTCTCAGAAATAGCTTTCACAACGTGCGGCACAGCCCTTGCAGACACCGTAGTCTGGCACTTTAGCAACGCAAGAGCTATTTCTTCAGTTGAATTTTAGGAAATACTCGGTTTGAGTTCAGGGACCATGTTTTAGGAAAGTAAGCCTGAATATAAGTAGATGTCTTCAAGAACCCCAAGAAGAAAATGAAGGAAGGAGAGATTCGCTGTGCTCATCTCTTGTTTACTTCAGGGCCAAAGCTCGCGGAGGAATGGTAGCGCTCTCCAGAGCCATTTGTGTTCTTGTTCTGTCTCTCCCTCTTTGCCAAATAGAGTTGAAGTTATACACACGTCACAAATCCACTATACAGATTAGTGATCACATTTAGCATTGTTTCCCTTTATTTTTTTTAAACAAGTGCAGTAATTATAAGGGTGTGTGAAAAACACTACCAGATACCAGATACATATATAATTCTTGTACATTAAACATGTGGTATTGTGTATGTGCATGATGTATATGGGAGGGGTGCATGCCACATGATATAAGTGTGAAGATCAGAGGACCACCTCATGGGGGCAGTTTTCTCCTTCTGCCATGTGTGTTATGAGAATCAAATTGAAATTGCCAGGCTTACGAGGCAAGTGTCTTTACCTCCTGTGCCATCTTGCCAGCTCTAAATACGGAGTTATTAATCAGCACTATTAAGATTCAGCTGAATAAATTTTTAAAATATGGAGACCAGGGTCTATCCTAATTCTAATTTAATTTTATTATTGCACTTGATGTAAGTGATGCACATGAGCAACATCAAGCATGTGGAGGTCAGAGGATAATTTTGTGGAGTATGAGCTCTCTGACCTTTAAGTGGGTTCCAGGGAGCAAAGGCAGGCCACTAGGAGGCAAGTGCTTTTACTCTCTCAGCCATCTTGTCTTGCTCATCCCTACCCTAATTCCTTTGAATCGCCTTTCCCTGGGTGTGGACTCTTGGGGCATTATGTGTGAAAGCTCTAGAGGCAATGCTGATGTGTAAATCTTGGCTAAGAACTGCTTTTAAACCATCATCAACCAATGATGAAACTGTGAACCCGAGTCACTTCAGAATAAAGGTGGCCCATTTCACCATTTTGTCTTAGGACTGATTGTGAACGTTTCCTGGTTTCTGACTATGTATCTGCTGTCTATCTCTTTCCTGTTCAGCTTGATGGCCTTGTCATTTAGAACTTCCTGGCTGAAAACTTGATCTTTGGTCCCCAGTGCCATCACAAGCATGGGTTCTGGCTATTTGCTGCAGGTTAGTTCTTTGGACTTGGCTTCCCTCATCTTTGCATCTGTCTCCACCACACACCTCCAGGACAAGCCTAGTAGGGCAACCTGCCCACAGCACTGGGTCAGGGAGGAACTGCCACGGGTCTACTGGAAAGTGATTTCAAATAACTAAAAGCTACAGTATCACATCAGCAGACTCCTTTGATTTCCGGCAAACATGGTTTTGTTTTCGTACCCCCCAACAAAACTGACCTAATAGAGAGTAGGAAAATTCTTTCTCTGGACTAAAGGTGTTCTGTTATCTGGGCCTGGCTATCAGCAATGCTGTTCTATCTTCCTTCCATTTTTAGTGGCCTGTTTTTTTTTTTTTTCCTTCTCCCTTCTTTTCACCAGCAACTGCTGCTTCTTTAACTCATATAGGACTCATATTATTCCACAATACACAGGAAATAAGACATTCTTATGGCTCTAAAGGAGTCTGTTTTCGACAGGCAGGGCCCCTACACACCTGAAAGGCCTGGTTAAAAAAAAAAAATGAGACTAATTCTGTGAAAATTATGCTCTCTCACGACAAGAAAAACGGCATGGCAGTGAAGGCAACTTGTCATCCATCCCTCATTAGGATCTAGACGCTCAAGAAGTGCTAAACGCAAACCTTGGAAACTACTATCACCCCAGTTGAACAGGTTTCTTTTTCTTCCCGAATCATGGTAATCATTTTCTGATTTTCAATGTCTTTATATTTTCTTAGACTACCACAAACTCTGAAACCATGGTCCTCATTTTTTCATATATTAATTCCCACCAGCCCTTAAGCATAACATAGTCTGCAGCAAATACTGGCTGGTGGCTCATCATTTTTTATAGTCTTAACCTCTAATGATCTCATGCCTCTCCTATGGTTCATTCCCACAAAACAGTACGCTACACTTTATTGTTAATCAATTAAAAACTTTTTTCTGAAATATTAGGAAAAGCTCAAACAACAAAGGCAGATATTTAAAAAAAAAAAAGTGCCACAAGCATGCCACTTCAGTTGCCCAGCAGCCCAGAATCTCAGCATAGAGACAATCCGGAAATGCAGGGCCGGTGGGAGAGGCCCTATAAATACCTACAGTCTAACAAGGCCTCTATGTCCCAAATTCAACTTGTCTATCAGGCAGCTTCTTGCAGTTTTCCAACTACATTTGAGAACAATTCTTCGGACTTGCGGGCGCAGATCGAAGACTTCAGGTAATGTGACATGGGCAGAGAATGTTTTCTGACACAATACTGGCAGGGACTGAAAGGCGGGTTTCCGGGAAACCTATTCTCTGGGTCACCTGCGCAACGTGGTCATCCTTTCCATTTTAAAACGCGGGCGGTGGATTAGGATTTGGCAAGCCCCTTTTCTTTCTGAGTCTATTCTAGTGCCCTAAACGAGTTGAAGTGGTAACTTGGTTGGGGAGGGCAGCCGTTTTTACTCGTCCACACGTGAGTTCCCCTTCGTGTTTTTTGCAGGGTTGGGTGAGGCACTCCAGGACTGCCTGCCTTTTCTGTGGGTCCTCGGATCGGCTGCAGCCGGGGCCGAATGCCTGGCGGGGATTAGTACCAGGTCATAAACAACCTCCCACTTCCCCTCCCCCCGCTGGGTCGTCCCTGCTACCGCCGCGTGGGCCTGCACGGTTCCCTCTCCCCCGGCAGTTCCCTCTTCTCAGCCCTGCACTCTCAATCACGACGCAGAGCCCTCGCCCACGGGCGGAGGGCGGCTTCCACTTCCCTTCTCCCGACCCTGCCACCGAGCACAGCCCAAAAGGCCGGCCGCCCTGACACGCACGCCTACAAGCCGCGGCCGCCCTGCGCCCGCCAACACAGTCCCCGCCCCCACCCGCGGTGCTTCCGCGGCGTGTCCCCGCCCCTTTCCGGAGCCCGCCTCCCGGCTGCCGGCCTCCGGCCGCCCCTCGCGCCGGCTCGAGCGCGCACCCGGGGCCCCGCCTCCGCGCGTGCTCAATAACTGTCCTCTAAGTCGGCCTACAAGCTTCCCCCGCCCCGGTCCTGTTTGAATATGCTAATAAGGCCCTAAGGACCAGCCAGTAGAACGGCGGGTCGGCGCGTCACGTGACGCGACTACGTGTCAGGGGCGGGGCCTACGTAGCCCCTGCCCGAGTTAAAACCGGAGAGTGAGAGAGAAAAGCGCTTCAGTAGCGAGAGGGGCTGAGAAAGTGGTGACACCGCTGGGGTGCGGAGGGAGTCCCTGAAACTTCTCCCAACAGCCCCAGGGCCAATCTCCCCTCAGCCCACTCCCCTCTTCGCCAGATCCCTGGTCCCCACTCCCTGCACTGGGGGTGGGGTGGGGAACTGGGCCCGTCTCCCGCGGGGACACACACAGGGGCCGGGAGTGGGGACGGGACCCCCCAGGCAGGGGGGACGGACGGACAGACGTCCGTGCGGCCGCCCCAGCGGGCAGACGGGCCAGAGGCGGGGGTAGGACCGGGAGGACCTGGGCTGGGGAGTTTCCTCTCAACTATCGGGGGAGAAACTCCCCACAGCCGGTGTTTTCCTCCCGGGGGCCGCGTTCCCCGCCCCGCGTAGCGGCGGTTGCCGCCGCCGCTGCCGCCGCCGCCGCCGCCGCCGCTGCCTCCAACCTCTGCCATCTCGTCACCACCTCGGGCCCCGGTGTCCCCGGCCAGCACTATGCCCATCTTACTGTTCCTGATAGACACGTCTGCCTCTATGAACCAGCGCAGCCATCTGGGCACCACCTACCTGGACACGGCCAAAGGCGCGGTAGAGACCTTCATGAAGGTACCGGCTGACCGAGCCCCGGCGGCGACCCGGACCCGGTGGCCCGCGGGGGGCAGGGCGGGGGGCGGCGGGGCCACTGCGGGCGCCGCGGGCGCGGGGACCCCTCCCCCACCGCGCGGGCGGGCGGGCGGGCGGGCGCTGGGAGCGGGCTCCGGCGGGCCTGGCCCATGTGGGGTTACTGTGGGTGCGGGGGGGGGGGGGGATCGGCGGAGGGGCGGCCCTGCGTGTGCGGTACTATGGGGGGCGGCCGGGGACCCTTCTGCGACTGGTAACCTCGCCTCTGTGCTGCCCTCTCTCCCCTCCTGTCCCCACCCTGGCCCGCAGCTCCGTGCCCGGGACCCTGCCAGCCGAGGAGACAGGTATATGCTGGTCACTTTCGAAGAGCCGCCCTATGCTATCAAGGTAACAGCCCTCGCCCTCCCCCTCCCTTTCCCTGCTCCTTCCTAGCTCAACCCTCCCCGCCCCCCTCTCCATTATGCTCCCCTCCCCCACCGCCGCTCCCGCCTCCCAGGTCCCTTCCCCTGCGGCCTCCCACCCCTCCCCGGCCCCGGAGCGCCGGCGCGGTGGCAGTTTCGGGCCCACCGCCGTCCCCTCCGGGTCCGGCTCGGCCTGGCGGCGGAGGCGCTACGATCAACATGGCCGACATTTCCCCTCCGCGGCGTGAGCGGCAGCAATGAACTGTGGGGGATATTTATTCAAGTTAGCCCGAGTGACAGCCGGGCCCAGCCTTGCCTAGCCCGGGTTTGCATTAAAAGGGAACCAGCCAAGCTGGCAGGGAAGCCAGGAGGGGGGCTTCGAGACTTGGTCATCACCGAGTGGAACTAGGAAGGCCACCGATTGGTGGGACAGCTGTGGTCAACTTAAGAAGTCCTGCTGCCATCTGCCTTCCACTAGTACCTTCGCAACACCCGCCCCTTACACACAATTTGGAGGATGTTCTGTTAGCAAATTTCCCAGGGAAGTTATTAAAGTATTAAGACTGTTGTTACTTACCAAAAGGTGTAGGGCAAGCAGGTTCATTCTTGGCCACCTTTGGAAGAGTTTCCTTTCCTCACCAGAGACAACAGTTATAACGTGTTACTACCCAAGCCATATCAACCAAAAGTGAAGTTAACAAACCCGAAGTGGCATACCTGCTTGGTGGACATCACATTATAATCGTTGTCCATGTGTGTTTGTGACTTCAAATGATATAAAAAAATTTTTTACATCTTTCTTTTCAGGCTGGATGGAAGGAAAATCATGCAACGTTTATGAATGAACTGAAAAACCTTCAGGCAGAAGGACTTACGACTCTTGGCCAATCCCTAAGGACAGCTTTTGATTTGTTAAATTTAAATAGATTAGTAACTGGCATAGACAACTATGGGCAGGTAGGTTGAATACTAAGGTAGAAAAGAGTTGTTTTTATTTATGTGTATAAAAGCACAATCCAGTCAAAAAAATATGCAACGTGGAATGGAAGTATAAAACATAACGAGGTTGAAATACAGTGTACACACAGTTCTAAACACCTAAGGTGTATGATTTTTATATCCCTCATTTCCCCCTTTAAATGTATTTGCATTCAGAATTTGGATTTAAATTCTTGGCTAGAAAGTTGACCTGAATTTGGTTTCAGTCCCTCAGAAGTTCATAAAAGACATAAAAGGGAAGATACACACCAGTCTGAAGCTCCGTTACCTGTAGGCACATACGCAGCTCTTGCAGTGGATCACAGCTGTTGGTTGACGTAGCAGTTGCTTCTAGGTTAGTAAAGATATTAGAGGAAATGACTGTTAGATTAGGATTTATCCTAACCCACATTGTATATTGGAAAGGTAAGATTTGTCAGGAGTGCAGTAATTGGTTGACTACATTCAGATGTCTTTTGAAGCATCTACTATTAGAAGTTACTGCAGTAGGAAGTCTAAAATTAATGACAGATTCAGAATTCTTAAAGTTTAAAATTTCCAAACCTTTGGGAAAATGCTTTCTGTGAAACATGAAAGTTTGCCTGTCTTCCTGAAGCTCCCCAAAAGTCCCTCTCACTGTGAGGATGAGACAAGAGCTTTAAATCAACAATAGTCATTCACTAAGGAAATGTGAGGTGATCTATTATAAATATTGCTATCCTAGAAATACAAGATACCAAAGAATATGTAATGCTGCACACAAGGAGTAATGGCACACCCAAGGAATTCCGTATGCAAAGCACTATTACCATAATGCTACATTTAGGAATATATATTTTATACTTTTCCCAAGTTTCATAATGTACAGTTCTCACGAATTTTGAACATTTCAAGGCAGTTCTTCCTGTGACTTCACAAGCTATATGCCTCATTTGGGGGATAACTCTGAAACATTTAACCATCTTTAGAAATGGTTGAATTTAGTGCTCAAGCATTTAAAGTATGCGTTACAAACCAGACTTTCCTGAAAAGCATTTTCATCCTTTAATTAGTAAATATCTTAACACTTTAGTTATTTTATTTTATTTATTTTTTTGCTGCTCCTTTGTCACTTGGTCTGTTTCTGTAAAAGCATCTTACTCCTTTGGTGTATGTAGTGCTATTTTCTATTATCGTTTAAGATTTTAATCAAACTTTGCCGAGTTAAAGACACATTTGAAACTTCCTATTAAGTTCCTTTATTTTGTTGTCAGGTTATGTGTTGTAGAGCTATCAATTTCCTATTTTTCTGTGTTACATTTCATAAGAGGGAAGGACATTTGGATATATCCACCTTCAACTACATAGTTAAAACAGCAAAAAGTCCTTTAGGAGAGTTCCAGGGCACCTGTGTGCTTACTCTCTAGGAAGTTTAAAGTTGAAGGCAGAGCTTTGGTGTTTTGAGATGTTCTTACTGACTAGGGTTTATTAACTTGCAACAAGGAAGGATAATGCCTCTCAGTCATTTTAGTGAATCAGCTAGGATTCAGGAAGCAATGTTAATGGTTTTTGCTTATATCCTGAATTTGCACAAATGAAACTAGCTTTAAAATAATTAAGACGCTACAATTTCTCAATAAATGGAAAATTTTTGAGTAAATTTTACTTGGAAGAAGACATGCTTCTGGATTTTTTCATCATAAAACCATTTTTCTTTATTTAAATATTCTATAATTCCTATTTATACAAAAGTTACCAGAATTTTGGATGATTGAAATTACTTAATACTAAATATCATTTGGATATTTGGAAAAGAACTTCGTAGGATCTGTAACCTTAGTATTTTTGTACATAAGTATTTCATGCTGAATAATAGGAATACTGGATGTAGTCTCAATAGTTGAAGGAAATGAGAAAAGGTGGGTTAGCTGGAAGACATGTTAGTCTTACAGAGCATCTATACATCTAATACAGTCTTATTTTCTTAAACATTTATTTCTTATATATAAAAATTACTTTCCTAAATATGGGTTAAATGTACACGTATTTATTGGTATATTTACATCAATAACCTTTTCCTGTATACATATAGACACATAGGTGATTTTATATAATCAATTGCAAGAACACTAGTTTCCATATTGCATTTATTAATTTGGCATTCTTAATTAGGTAGGATACTTAGAATTGTAAGGTTAAAATAGCTGAGCAGAAAAGATTCTTAAATGGTTTTCTCATGCACCTTTGGATATTCCACTAACAAATTGTCTGCCTGTGTAGAAGATCCTTTTAAATATTTGGTAACCAGTACCATTTGCTGATATTTTTACAGTTGTAGATGAGTGTGAACCATGAGTGTGAACCTTCAGTCATCCCTTCTCTTTAAAAGCAGCATCTTATTGCTGATTGCAGATAAACTTGCAAGTTATCGTCCACATGTTAATAGTTTCAAATTATATTGATCCTTTGAGAATCTGAAAATAAGCTCAAGTAGATAAGATTAAGAATGTAGACACAGGCCGGGCGGTGGTGGCGCACGCCTTTAATCCCAGCACTCGGGAGGCAGAGCCAGGCGGATCTCTGTGAGTTCGAGGCCAGCCTGGTCTCCAAAGCGAGTTCCAGGAAAGGTGCAAAGCTACACAGAGAAACCCTGTCTCGAAAAACCAAAAAAAAAAAAAAAAAAAAGAAAAGAAAGAATGTAGACACATTGGACAGTTTTATTATATAAATTGACATGTTTTTATATTTATTCTGTGTTTTTTTGTTCTTTTTCTTCAATGTTTGTAGCATTTTTTTTTTTAAAGATTTATTATGTATACAGTGTTCTGTCTGCGTGAATGCCTTCCTGCAGGCCAGAAGAGGGTACCAGATCTCATTACAGAAGGTTGTGAGCCACCATGTGGTTGCTGGAAATTGAATTCGGGACCTCTGGAAAAGCAGCCAGTGCTTTTAACCACTGAGCCATCTCTCCAGCCCAGCATTTTTTTTTTTTTTTTAAAGTTAGGTTTAGCTGCTGAATCTGACTCTGGCCTGCACATCATGATTGTTTCCATTGGTCTGACTCTATTTCACTCTCCAATATAGTAGCACTGATTGGATTGTTTAGAATGGTGCCTGACCTACTGTGCATTTTTTTTTCTACTGTGCATTTTAAAAAGAGAAAAATATTTATTGCTTTGAGAATTTTAAATGAGAGTATTTACCCCTTTTGACAATGATGGCTTTGGTGTGAGATGAGTTTGATGTTCTGTTTTTTGAGCTGACCTCACTATAGCCATTGCAAGCCTGGAACTCACTGTATAGACTGGCCAGCCTTGAACTTCTGAGTGTTGGGATTACAAGCCTGCACCACCATGCTTGACCCGGCTTTTCTTCTAATGCTAATTAGTGAATTAGTAAAAACTTGGTTCCTATTTGAGTTTTTGGTTTTTCTTTCCCCTTAGATTATCAACAAGTTCTTCGGTATTTATTAAGCTATTAATAACCTTTTCAAGTGAAAGGAGATTATTATACTTGCCTGTATACTGCCTGTACTACAGTGCTGAAATGTGACCTGAAACAATAGTGAATAGTTAGTCTTTGTGTGGTGTTGGATATGAAACCCAGATCCTTGTGCATGCTAGACAAAGGTCCTACTACAGAGGTACACCCTTTGTCGATCGGCACTGTTGTAAAAATTGTAAGTCCCTTAATTAAAATAAG